TGGGGGGGGGGGGGGGGGCGCGCCCCCGGCCCCCGCCGAGCCCGCAGGGGCCCCGGAGCCCGCAGGGTCCCCAGGGCCCCCAGACCCTGCAGAGCCTGCGGGGTCCGCAGGGCCGGGCCGGGGGGGCTGCCGCGGGGACACCGCCCAGTTCAGCACCCTGAGCCTGGTCCCCAGCCCCGCTCTCCCCGCAGGACCCTGCTACGATGAGCTCGTCGCTCCCCTCTACTCCTCGTCCATCGGTGCCTCCTCCAGATACAACATCTTCTACTCGTCCAGCTTCGCCCGGCTGCACAGTGAGTCCCCCCGCGGGACCAGGGTGCAGACGGGGTGGGGGCCGTGGGCAAGGGGTGTCCCCGGCAAGGCCTTGCCTCATATGGGGCTGAGGGGTCCTCGGGGGCCCACGGCAGAGCCCTCAGCATCCCCCGGGGGTGGGGGGAGCCCCGCAGCCCTCCAGCTCCCACCCACAGTCGGGTGCTGCCGTGGGGGCCGAGGAAGCAGCCCCCGCTCAGCCAGGAGCCGCTGGGTGCCAGGCTGTGGGGCCGGCTGAGCTGCTCCCCCCGCAGGCACCAGCGGCTGGTCCCCCGACCCCCGGGACAAGCAGCCCTGGCTCCAGATCGACCTGATGCAAAAGCACCGGATCAACGCGGTGGCCACGCAGGGGACCTTCAACACCTACGACTGGCTGACGCGATACATTGTGCTCTATGGAGACCACCCCACCAGCTGGAAACCCTTCTTCCAGCAGGGCAGCAACTGGGTAGGGAGGTGCCCGGGGGTCCCTGCGGGAGGGAGGTCCCCTGGGGAGAGCGGAGACCCTGGCCCAGAGCGAGGTGCTGATGGCAGCCCTTCATCCCCAGACGTTCTTCGGGAATGTGAACGAGAGCGGGGTGGTGCGGCACGACCTGCACTACCCCATCCTGGCACGCTACATCCGCATCATCCCGGTGGCCTGGAACCCGCGCGGGAAGATCGGGCTGCGTCTGGGCCTCTATGGCTGGGCCTCCGCGCGGAAGCCCGCCCGCGGGCCCGGGCAGGGAAGATCGGGCTGCGTCGGGGCCTCTATGGCTGCCCCTACCGTGAGTACCCGGCCCGGGAGCTCCGGCAGCCCCCCATGGGGTGGGACCCTGGCCCAGCCACCCGCGGGGCAGGGGGCCAGCCCCTGGCTCCAGCATGCCTGGAAAACCCTTTCCCAGAGGGGATCGTGTCCAAGCGGCCTGCAGTTGTTAGCTCTGGCATAACCCATAGCAGAAAGGAGCGTTCCCTGTGCCAGGGCACCTGCTGCTGCGGGCAGTGATGTGGCCGGGGCCGCTCTGCTCTCCCCAGGGTCCCACGTGCTCTTCTTTGACGGGGATGACGCCATCTCCTACCGCTTCCGGGCCAAGAAGATCAGCACCCTTGAGGATGACATCTCCTTCAACTTCAAGACGCTGGAGCAGGATGGGGTGCTGATGCACGGGGAGGGCTCGCAGGGTGACTACATCACGGTGGAGCTCAAGCAGGCCCAGCTCCTCCTGCACATCAGCTTAGGTGAGGCGGGGCCGGGGGCCGGGAGCCGGGGGGCCG